CAAATCTCATTTACATCAATAATTTCTTAATACATACAACCTCTTGGGTTGCTAAACAGTATGCCACATACTCGTGGATAAGGAAACAATAGTTTACCTTTCACAATATGACATCACCACCATATAAAAACACATAAATTAAGATCAACTTAAAATCATTGAGATCCTAGGGGTGAAAATTGGGTTGGGTCTACCCGAGGACCCGGTGGATCGACTTGACATTGGTCCATATTGTGAGAAACTGTATTTATGTACATTTGGGCCCTAAAGCTCTTATGGTAGATGTATTTAAGAGCTTATCGAAGATGTGAACATGAGCCTCAATTTATAGGGTTACAAAGCTGTGTACTACTAAAGAAAGTAACATATAAAATGAATCATCTTTTTAATATGGATACACATAACAGAAAGAAAAATATTGAACCCAAAAATAAGTGGAGGTTTTTATAATTTCCACACTCCCCCTCAAACTCAAAATGCATTAAGAGGGAGCAACATAAGTTTGGACAACTGAATGCAGGCTTTAGAAACAAAACAGGAACAAAAGAAGCTTGAGTAATTGCAAATTAGCAATTCTAAAAAACTGACACCTCGAACAGAGAAGTCTTGCACAGCAGCAAATCAACAAGCCTTCAGAACAGACAGGATCGACTAACGAAGAAAACATGATATTCACACAAGATGGAATAACATAAAACTCCATCATCCAATAGAACTGAGGAACATAAAACTCAATCATTAAACATGATCGAGTAACAATAAACTCCATCATCAACTAGGATCGAGAAATTCGATCATCAAATCGGAGGCCCTTGGAAGAGCCAACAAAAATTAGCGGCGGATCAACAAGCACATTTGGACCTTAGATTAAGAGTTGAGAACAATAATATCCAAAACAGATTAGAGAATCAAAACACTACTCGGCAGATAGATATATTATATAATCGAAACACGACTCGATGGCGCTTTTGCAGATGGTGCATATCGGTTGCTTTTAGAGGCCATTGGCAGAGGTGGATTTAGAGGTGGGTTTCAAATCCGGCTTACCAAGGGTCCGACATCAGAGAAGAGTATGGCAGCAATGGTTTACCCTAAAGCAATGGGCAATGACAGATGACTTACAGATCACAAAGATCTTATTTTTTCCATCAAGTTTTATTGTTAAGACGTCTCCTTTTGCAAAATCCATAGACAAATTATATGAGCGCCCTCATATGTGATCAAGAACTTGGATCTGAGATCAAAACTCTGATGGTATAATTTTTTTTTTTTTGTAATAAGATCTTCCAACACCGAGACAGCAGATTGGGAAACTTTCAATGTACTGTGAAAGAGATCAAATAGCAAGCAAGGGTAAGACGGTGAACAAGACTTTGATGATTTTTCCTCAGTGGAAGACGAACAACAAACTGTGTTTTAAGATAAAGTTTGGATGTGTAGCAATGGTTACTAGGCCTTACACCAAAATGGTGCAAATCCAATGGTTAACTGGTGCAAACAATTGGACGTAAAACAGAAAGACGGAAACATTTAAAAGGGCTAAACGGTGTTCCTTTAATGGGCTCAAATGGATTTCAATCGGTGTAAGCAAAAAAACACATAGAAACAAAGATAGAGTAGCCAGAACAAGATAAAAGAAGGCTAGGTGAAAAAAAAAACAAGGGGAGCCAAATGAAATATGAACAAAAGACAAGAAAATAACAATGGCCTAAGTTCTCATGAAAGAAACTATAGGATTCACAACAATAAAATTATGCGGTAAGGGAGAAAAAGACATTTGGAAACGAATTTACAGATAAACGTTGAAATGTGAGGACAAAAGGGCACTGCTGAAAACGATTTCATGTGAGAAACTGTATTTTTGTATATTTTGGCCTTAAGCCCCTATGGAAAATGTATTTCAGAGCTTATCAAAGATGTGGACAAGAGCCCCAATTTATAGGGTTATAAAGCTGTGTATTAATAAAGAAAGGTATATATATAATGAATCACCTTCTTAATATGGATACACATAAAAGGAAGGAAAATATTGTATAAAATAAGTACAGGTTTCTATAATTTCTACACACTTATGGGTGTAAGATTTAGACATGACATGTCGGGTCCGGTCCATGTAGACAAGACCCTGACCCGACCCAAATTTATTAACTTATTTTAAATACATATATATATTTATAGTTATAATAATATCCGAAAGACGAATGATCGATTGTAGGTCAATAAATCTAATCTTCGTATATCACTAGCAAATACCAATTACCCCATATTAATTTAACTTGAATTACTACACACAGAGAAAGACTCATGATCGCCCAATAGTAGACATCCATCATCCTCACACGCACAAGCCAAACAGTTAGGTTAGCCATCACCCTACCCTAAACCTATCTTTAGACACTATGTCTCTACCTTAGTCAACTCTAAAAAAAAGTATGTAAAAGGAAGCACTCGGTTCACTCCACTGAAACAAAGACTCTCGATCTGCTATTAGCGGCATAGTTAATCACTGAATGCATGGTTGGCAATTGCAATTGGTTCCTTCAGTCAAGTTCGGGAAACGTATCCACTGCAACCACCCTTAGCAAGTGTGCATGCTATCAAAGATTGCCTAGGACGCAACTTCTTAAGAAAATTACAAAACCCCCCTTGACTCAACTTTCTTTACATTCTTCCACCAGCTAAATTTTTTTTATCACAACTTTTACCCAAAAACTAAGTTTTATAGCAAAGATCCCCCAAGTCAAAAGTTATAGTTTGAAGGATGAAAATACCCTTCCCCATACATGAAGGTGTCACAGTCTTGTAGACGCTCAATCACCAAAGACGGTTCGACATATATTGCTGTTGGATTGGAACCCATAACACATACACTACCGGGCATGAAAAATAAGCCGGACGGAGGCATCACAATGTTGGACCAACAAACTATATTGTCGAATCGTTTTAGGAATTACCGGATCATAGGCCTTGCAAGAAAATATGCCGAACTAAATGGCAAATATGTCGGACCGAATGGCAAGAGAGAGGCGTTTTAACTAAGTAACATTTTGGTCTTTATTTGACTTTTTTTTTTAACTTGAGGGGTATTGCTATAAACATAGTTTTGGGGTAAAAGTTGTAAAAAAAAAAAGTTGTTGGGGAGAGGTTGTCTAGAAAGTTTGTTTTGGGAAATATCTGTAATTTTCCTACATTTTTTTTGAATTTTGACCTTGATCAACGAAATAAGTACATCTACCCAATTTTTTCACATCCAATAATCAAGATTAACTATGATCACCTTGTATCAAAGGTAAATAATATCTTTTTACCATATTATAAGACATGAAATTAAAAGTAAATTATATAAAAGATTGGATAACTAATATTAAATAAAAGTTAAAATATTCCTAAAATGATTTTCAGTTGTTTCAAATATTTTTTTTTTAAAATATCTTTCATCTAACTTTTCATTGAAGCATCGTTCAAGGCATGCTAGTTTTTATTATTGGTCTAGGGAGATTATGGTTCCAATTTCCTTGTCTTTAACAAATAATAGACTTTGAAAAAGCATGGACAAGGCGTGCATGGCTAATGCCATGGCATTTACCCAAAAAAAAAAAAAAAAAGCAATTAAAAGGTACAAAGGTATAATATTAATGCGAACATGGCAAGTAATTTAATAGGGGAACTAGGAAATAAATTAATTCATTATCTCCCAATGTCCCTTATGTTTCATGGGTTTAACTTTTGTTTATACGGGTGCTGACCTATTACCAAAGTCCCATGTCCTGAGTCCTCCCTATAGTTCCTATTTCTCGTACAAAATTTATTACCAGCGTTGTGACGACTGTGCCACCTATTTTCTTGTCACTTGTTTAGGGTTTAATAGTTAGTAAACATACAGGCACATTCTCTCTTCTCAAATGACCAAATTTGGTAACGGGTGCTGACCTATTACCAAAAGTCTCATGTCCTGAGTCCTCCCTATAGTTCCTATTTTTCGTACAAAATTTATTACTAGCGTTGTGACGACTGTGCCACCCATTTTCTTGTCACTTGTTTAGGGTATAGTTAGTAAACATACAGGCACATTCTCTCTTCTCAAATGACCAAATTGATCCTTAACATGACTCTCACTCGTGTCATCATTTTCAAAACTTTATTTTACAAACGGGCACATTTGGTTCCTGGGAAAGATTTCTATGAGAAATTCATTTCTTACCGGACTACAGCTTTGTCATTCTAGTTCCATGAGTGAGCGGTAGATATTGCGGTGACCATGCTTTCCTGCATTTCCAAATATATTGGATTTTTATTTGGAGGAAAAAAATTTATATGCTGTTGCAGCAAAATATAGTAAAAAGAGTGTTTTAAAGTTGGATGACCTTCTAATTTATTATATTGACTTTGAGATGTATAAATATAAGGAAAAAAACAAATATTTTTAAGTGCTAAAAATAATGCATCTTGTAACAAATTATCTGGAATGTCTATTTTCAAGAGTTCACATCTTGATATGCATGGACCTTATCAGGTTGGGTCGGATTTGGGTTGGGGTCAATTGTACCCGGCCAACCGAGAATAAAACATATAAAACTATATAAAATATGTACTAAATAATCTATAAAATAAATTTTTTATTTTTACTTGGATCTTGTCCAGGTCAGGTCTGGATCCAAATAACTTGGAAACAACTTGGGTTCGGATCCAAGCCTGGGTGAAACCTAAGTGGTTCGGGTCCAGGTCCAACCCTGACCCGACTCGTACCCAGCGCATTACCATTTCTACCTTCCAAGGCAGGCCTGAAATGTGCTTTCGGATGAAACAAACATGTTAAAAATCTTGGGTGAATTTGGAAATAAGGTAGCTGAGAACTGGGAGCGTTTGGTTGGTGAATTTCCAGATAGGGGTATTTCAGGAAATATTCAAAATATGTCGCTCCGACTGTATTAACTTTAACAATTAGGGATATAAATATGTTCGTAAAACGAATATGAAATCAGTGCAATTAATGGAGCGGCAGATGATAAGCAAACTGAACTGATGTTGTAAAAGTATATATTTCTGCAATTTATGTTCGGTATTGGTTCATGAAACGTGTTGAAAGTTTTCGGAGTCGCGTATTTGCAGTTTGTCATCCTCCAAAAATACAATGGTCTTACACACATAGAGAGGGAATGTTATTCACCTGGTTTTGAGGATGAGGCAAGGCACTGTGAGACAAGCTGGAGAGCTGTTCTCCTGGTATATATGGGAAATACTACTTTTATTTCTTTTTTTTCTCTCTCTAAAAGTTTACTCCGACTTATTCCTGCTTTCTTCATTGTGATTCTGCTCTTGCTGTCGCTCATTGCCTGTGGAGAAAACTTGCTTCCTTAAATTTTATGCTTCCTCGGCCTTTTCGTGAAATTTTTCTTTGGGGTTTCCATTGTTTCAATGACTAATATCAGCATGCTTTTTGGCATGAATGTTGTTTTGCTAATATGAGTCTGTGGTATTTTGAGTTTGAGCTGCTCAGACCACGATGGAAGGGGCTTGGTTCACTTCATCGTCTTCCCCTCTTCGTTTCCTCATCAATATTGTTAATTCCTCATCAATCTTGTTAACTTTTTGAGGGCCTTTATGTACAATAAAGGATGATGGAGATGTCTCCCATACCTATTATTAGCAATACTATATTTTTCATTGTTGTTTGTGGACAAAAAAGAGAATAGCATTTGTCTCCTGTATTCCTTTTTTTTTTTTCCTTTTTCTTTCTCCCAATAGTAGTTTGACAGATGAAATAGTATGAGTTGATCGGACTTATCTACTTTGGCCACTGTTTCTTTGTGCTCCTCCTCCTTCTGATTCTTCTCGTAAGGCTTTTATATTTTTGATGTCGGCAAATTGTTTGGTAGTATGTTTTGTTTGGTTGTTAAAATCTTACATTATCATAAGTTCTATTTATGTATGGGAAGCTTGATATTTCAAATTGCATACAGTATCAAATAGTCAGCTGAGTAAAAGTAGAATATTGAATATGAATTGATGTTGCTCATCTCGATGATGAAAATGGTGTATTAATGATTGAAAGTTTGAGTTCATACATATTTTTGGACATAGAAACATGTTCCGGTAAGGATGGAAGGGATGTAATCTTCTGTGTAGCTTCAAATTGTGGGGGAAGCTTTCTCTAAATAAGCAACGTGTATCACTATCTTGTTGAGCTTTCCTACATTTGCAAGGCAAGCATGTCAAAAGCACATTTGATGCTTATCTCCAAATCCAGTTGGACGTGGGTGCTTTGAGAGGTGCCTATTGTGAGGGGGAATATGGGGGGCAGACAATTGGTAGATAGGGAGAGATTTGATGCTAAGAAATGGACTTGCTAAGCTGTTATATAGGGTTCTCTTTTTGTAGGTTGTTACTTTATTCGTTCTGTTTAGGTCATGATGTTTTTGGATTTGACGTATACCATGCAGATTTACTCTGTTGCATATTTGTCATATTTGATTAGGATAAGAATAGTTTTAATTGCACTACTATTAACACAATGGTTTTGAGCTTATTGCATGATCAACCACCAGCTATTGGAAGTCAGTCATCTGAAGGAGATAAAAGTGTTGCACATGAAAAACATGATAAAGAATTAGTAGTCTATCAAAGAAGAAAAAAAGGGAGCAGCCCATGGAGCACACTTCGAGCATAGAAACTGTGCACCAAGAAGAAGAAACTCATGAGAGAGAACTTGACATATCCCTTCAAAGGCAATCAATTCCAGAATGTCGGACTTCATTGTTTATAGATTTTGGGGACCAAAATCAGCTTAGAGGATTGGCTTGCACTCGACATCCAATAGAAAGGTGGGAAGCTATGATTCTCTTTCTATTGAACATCAAGTTTTCTTGACAGAAATTCTAAAAGAGCATGTGTCCGGTTCGTATAAAGTAGCAACAAAGAATGTGAGATGGATAGAGGCAATGAATAATCAGACAAGCACCACAGTTGTAAAACGTGGGTGACAGTCCCAAGGCCTAAAAGAAAAATGTTGTTGGGTCAAAATGGGTGTATAAAATAAAGTATAAGGCTGATGGTTCAATTGAGGAGTTCAATGCAATGCTAGTTGCATATGGGTGCTGGACTATAAAGAAACTTTTAGTCCTGTGGTAAAAATGGGCAGTGCTCAATTTGATGGAGAAGATAGAAAAGGAACACTCAAGAACCATGATTGGATAAAACATAGATGTCTTTCTCATTGTTTAAATCATGGGGCAATGTGCCCTATGTATACAAATGTATCCAAATATGGTTAAAATACAGGTCATCATGCATATAGGTTGTTACAACTATCACGCATGTAGGTTACAACTTAGTACATATATGTTACAGTCTTACAGTTATTGAAGGATCCAAATATAATAGGACACTTAACAAATTTGGTATTTTCGAGGATGCAAAGATTCTTAGTTAATATGCCTCATCACTTTATAGTCCATCATAGGAGGTTCCTTAATAGGTGTGGGGCCCATAATATTTACTATATTCCCCCTCAAGCTGGAGTATATATAATAGATCTCCAGCTGGCTCTAAGTGTCTTTTACTTGAACAAGATTAAAAGCCTTGGTAAATGTGTTTGCCAATTGATTCTTGGAGTGAACAAATGGAGTACATATTACTTATGAAGTGACATTTTCTTTTAAGAAGTGACATTCAACCTCAATATGCATGGTTCCTTTATGGAATGTACGGTTTGAAGCAATATAAGTGGTCTTTTGATTATCACAATGTGAAGGTGTAAGAGTCGATACATTAACACCCATCTCTTGAAGAAGAGAATGGAGTGAATTATTTCTTGCTTCTATTGAAGATCAGGTACAACACTTCGCTTTTTAATCTTCCAGGTGACTAAATTGCCACCCATCATTATAAAGGAGCCACTAGTAGATTGGCAATCAAGAGAACACGCAGCCAATCTGCATCACAAAAACCTTTCATATCAAGGTCACCATGATTGAAATAAACTAGTCTTTCCATGGAGTTGATTTCAAATATAGTAAATTGCGATAAACACCCTCCAGGTTATGGGAGCATGGTGAATGCATAAACTGACTCGTCAAGTTTAAGACATACACTACATTTAGTTGTGTGACAGTCAAATAGATAAGTCTACCAACTAATCTTTAGTATACACCAGGCTTACTCATAGGCTTTAATTACTAATCGTACAATTTATGATTTACTATTGATGGTACCTCATCTCTACTTTCATAAGATAGGTCCAACTATAACAAGAGTAGTCATAAATGAATAAGATAAAATACCGACATCCAAATAACTAGGGTAGGGCCCCAAACATCATAATCAACAAGGTGGAATGGTTTAGAACTTTTATTTTCAATAGATGGAAAATCTAAAAAAAAAACTAAACTATAGGGCTCGTACTTCTCAAAGATCACAAGGTGCTGAATGAAGTGGTAGGAGAGGGGGGTGAGCGAGTTCCGTACATGGACAGATAGAGGGATTGGGATCCCTGACTTTTAGGGATTGAGTTCCATATCTGCAAAGGAGTGGATCCCTTATGGGATGGGAATGTGTTCCGCTTGTTAGGATCTAGGTTCTTGAACTTTAATTATCTATCTCTATTGTAATCTGAGAGCGAGATCCATTTAAGAGTATCTTTAACTTTTTCCAAATTCACAAAACCAAGTATCAATGGAAACAATAATCATGTCATTGAAAATCTTTGGACTTTTTGTTATTAATGGAGAAAGATTTCACGAATGAGTACTGATATTAAGAAATCAATATGGTGGTGTAATACCTAATAAGTCCTTCGACACGAATGGCGCTTCGTGTCCTCAGAGATATCTTTTTATCTCTCCTTCTAGCTCTCCCGTCAATTGGTGAAGTGATATGTTCATTGAGGTCTTTTATGTACTCTTATTCTCTTCAAATTCGTTGGGGAACATTGTGGTCTACCTTCCTCTCAACATTGTCAAGAATAAACTCGCTCAACTTACCTGTTGTAGGTGCATTGAAACATGTGCAAAAAAGTAACGATAGAGAGGAAGCGTTTCTCAGAGGCAATCTTGCACTTGCAATGAAGGAACCTTTTTTAACTACCCATCTTGTTTGTATCTCATCCCAACTTATTCTTTCTTCCATCCCAACTGCTTCCTTCTCTCTCCTCGCCCTCTCTTGTTGCCTCTCTTTGAAACTAGACACAAGTCACAATTCACAAAGTGTGTAAAGTCGTGAATTGTAAAATATATAGGAAATCGTGGCATATAGAAAGTTTGTAGGTCATAAGAAAATGGAGATCCACACTCCATTATATACGAACAAAAAATGTGCTGTAGAATTTCGTACTCAAGGCATAGGATACTCGATTCCATGTTAGTGGAATCGTGGTTCTGCTTATTCATGAAAGGGTGATTTCTAGTATAGGGATCTGGGGTAAAGGATTGAGATCTTTGATTTCCTAGATCGAGATCATTAATATCAAGGAATTACCCGGAATCGCAATCCCGAGTTTCGGAATGCTGGAACGAGATCTAGGAGCGGTAGCGACCCCTCTTTAGAAGATCCCAATAACTATGATATGGGCTACTGCCTCCAATATATCCTTTGTAGTTCGTAGGAACAACAATCCCCGGTTGATACTCGGCTACATGGAATAATGGAGCCATGCAATTATCGTTAGTATCTTACTTTCCCCTTTCATTATGGGATGGATTATCTATGGGAGGCTCTTTCACCTTCCTTGTGATGTAACCCAATTTTCTCTGGCTTCTTGTGAGCATTTTGGAAGGTTGGGACATTTTTAACATTGTACTTACTATGGCGATCAGTAATCCTAGGTGGTCATAATTCTCAAGGAATATTGTGCTTGATTTATGACATTTTTGCTTTCTCTTAACGCAAAATCCTAAGTCTTTCTCTAAGTTACTAATTCCTTGATTTCAAATCTTGAAAAGAAATCCCCTTTTCTGGTTGTTTGGGTGAGAAGGATTCGGAATATATATATTTTTTGATTTGTTTAGCCTAAACGAACTTCTTTGGTAAAATTGTGAGATGGTCTTGTTGGAAAAATATGGTGATGTTGATACGCCACATCTTCAAGCCCCCAAAGAGAGGAAAATTTTGATTCTAAGGTTGCTAGAAAACAATGGATACCCTAGGTTACAAGCCCTGCTCTAATACCATGTTATAATAGAGAAAAGGAGCACTCAAGCACCACGTCAACATCCATATAGGATACATAT